TAAACAGGGCAATTACTGTTTGTGTAATTATACAGAACTTCGTTAGTATTGATGGTTATGAATAAATAGATGAACGTGATGTTTCTACTATTATTTGACTAATAATGTTAAAGAAAGAAATTCTGTATTTTTTTTTCTTTAGAAGAAGAAACGACAGATATAAATGTGAATTTCTTTTATATTACCCTATTCAGCAGATGCTTGCAGTGGTTCTTTAGGACAATTGATGCAACCTAGTGGCCAAACAGGGAAACTGCAGTCCCTTTTACTCTTGTGTTTGTTTTCTCTTAACATAAATCGCACATTTATCCCATATAAATATATTCAATTGTTTAATTTATTTTATGCAACAGAACAAGTATTTTTAGGCGATAATTTTGCAATGCAGGTTTTACATTTTTCATCATTTCATCCTCTTTACTGGCCTCAGGCTTTCAGAGAAGGACATGTTAATATGTTGGCCACTGCTGTGCTTGACTCAGACAGCTGTGAGGAAAATGGAACAGTCTACTCCAACAATAATATATATGGCAGCCAGAGTTGTGTCGAACCTGTGTGTGTGACAGTGGGCTTGTAGTGTGTGAGGACGAGGTGTGTGAGGAGCTCAGAGACTGTCGGATGATGGTGTTTCCAAAGGGCGAATGTTGCCCCAGGTGCTCAGCCTCACCTCTGACACAAACAACAAACTCTGGAGCAGGTAAATTGAACTGAATGACACTGTTCCTTTATCATAGGGATTTATAAGCAACTTCAGATCCCTTTCAGTTATTATAATGCATCATTATGGGGCTGCCAGTACAGTTTGAGGGTGGTGAATGTGAGGATTAGATATAAAGCAACAACAGAAAAACATATCGACTTTCTGAGAATAATAATTAAGATGCTTTTAACAAAAGATAGTAAAACCAAATGAAAATAAAGAGCAGAAGATTATCATAATCAAACTTGATTCTAACTAATATCTTTGTAACAATACTGATAATTCTGGAATTATTACCATTATAAACTATAAAGAAATTACCATATTAGACCTAATCGTTGCTTCATTACCCCACAAATAAAAAATTTCTGAGGGTTAAACTATTGATTATGGTAAATGTTTTAATTGGTTTAAATGTCATGCAGAAATGTATGGAGTATTAGGGACATTTTAGTTGAAATGAAAGAAAAATGTCAATGGAGGAATACATTTTCTTAAATGAACTGATAAATTGTAAAAAATAATTTCATACATTTACAAGAAAAAAAAAGTTATATGTTGTGGCCAGAAATTCTTTTTAATTCTTTTCTCATTTCAGTATTAATTACATTAATTTGGTAGGTCAAAAATATGCATGAAAAAAAGTTTTTTTAGATTGCAAAGTTAGACATCTATGACAACAACAAATAATAACTCCTATCTGATTTTGTAAATTACTTAGACTGGCAGAAATATCTGCTGAAATCAGGATCAAATCAACTTTTAAGGATATCCCGTGTTCTGTTCTTATGTCTCAAATCCCAAAATAGGCTATGAAATTTCCCAAATCTCTTAAACTGCAGATGTGATGTAGTACTAGTGTAGGTAGACTAGCAGAAAGGGTCTCCTAAGACATCATCAGCATATAAAGATATCTTGTGTTCTGTCCTTATGTCTACGCCAGCCTCAAATGGTAAAATAGGCTATGAAATTTCTCATTGCACAAAGGCTGTTTCTTGAGGACAAAGTCAAAAAAGTATGTCAATATAAAATCCAAATGTATTAATTGTACTATTGAGGCGTACCAGAAACCCTGTAATGATGTGTTGTGCAAACTGAAAGGGTATCATCTACAGTACTCATCTGGTTGGTTTTGTCTTGTGAAGAGACCTGCACAGAAAATGGCACAACTTACTCCAACAATCAAATATGGCGCCCAGAGCCATGTCGAGTCTGCATGTGCGACTCTGGGATTATGGTGTGTGAGGAATTGGTGTGTGAAGAGCTAAGGGACTGTGAGACAACCAAGATCCCCATGGGCGAGTGTTGCCCTGTGTGCTCTGCCAACAAACCAAATGCTTCTTTCTCCGACGATAAAACTGGTAAAAAATATTATAAACTAATGTTTAGATCTGATAGAACTTCTGCTACAAAAAATACGAAGGAAACTTGATGATTCTATAGAATCTATAGATTGTATTGAATCAATCTATAGGTTGTACCTCAATTTAATATTAAATTGATTGTAATTCTCTAAATCAATGTGCCACGTTTTGTTTTTTTGTTTTGTGTCTAACATACATGATCTCTGTTTAAAATAAGCATTTAATTAGTGTTTAAAAGCATCAAAATTTGTATTATATTTCTATTATCATTGTTTATATTATAGTGCTATTAAATTGTGTCTAACACTGTAGTATAAATTCATTGTTGATATTTTTTTGGGTATGGTTATCGACAAATTTATGTATATAAATAAAAAACATGCCTAATTTGAGCCTACAAATTAAATCCTTGGTTTGCATTTCTTTGTGATTTGCACAAATATTACATGTAAGGTTTTGCTAGAATTTTCTTGTCAAATTATTATTATTATTTTTTTTTTAGGTCAGTCTAGTTGAAAAATTACTCTTGTTAGACCCACTGATTTTATGGATAACCTTTATTAAACCGTTTTAAAGTATTATAACTTTGAGTAATAATGGTGATTTTAGAGGAAGGTGACATTTTCTTGCTCTCCTGATTCCTATTTTGCAAATGCATAAGAAGTTTCACATCAACCTACAACTATCTATTTTCTGTAGTTATCCTGATTCCTGTTTCCAAGATATCATGAATTGGCCTAATTATAAATTTTCTTATATTTAGCTATTGCTGGTTATACTAATCAAAGTGTTGCTATTATATTGCAAGCACATTTTTTTCTTTGCTATCCAGACTTCTGTTTTAAAGATAGCATTAGCTGGCTCAATTGTACAATTAATTTAATGCAGCTAAGTTGTCTTGCTAATCCCAGTTTTTAGATAGCATGAGCTGAACCAAATATAAACTCAGCTAGGGATGCACGATATAATCGGCTCCCTATTGGTATCGGCCTGTGTCGGCCTTAAAACTGAATATCGGACATCGGCCCCCCCACCGATATTTAACCCGAAAAAAAAAAAATAAAAAATACTACTTCTTCTTCTTCCTCAAAAGCTTCTTTTTTACAGACTTAAAAACTTCTAAAGACGAGGGAAAAAATATTGATACATAAAAATATCACAATATCTTCATATGCTGATATATTGCCATTTAAAAACACCATATCAATCTCTTTTACTAATGAAATATTGCTAAATGTCATCGTTATGCTACGAAATCCCCCGAAAATTAACGAAATTTTGCCATATTTTTATATGTTGATATATTGACGCGGTATCGATCTATTTTACTAACAAAATCTCACAAGAATTTGCAAAATATAACGAGAGTTTGTAACAGAACGATGAATTATCACAAGATTTTGAAAGTAAAATAGATCGATACCGCGTTTTTAAAAATTAATTTGATATCAGCATATGAAAATATATTTGAGTATATTATTTTTCAAAGTGTCAGAAATGGATAACAAAACTGCTATTTTCAATGACTACTTATTTTTGTCCAGCTTTAACATCGGTATCGATATCGGTTATCGGCTACATGAGTTTTAAAATATCGGCATATCGGATATCGGCCAAAATCCCAATATCGTGCATCCCTAAACTCAGCTGAATCAAGCTATTTTTTTAAATTACAAATCTGAATTATTAAGGTTTTTAAGTAATTTGAACTATTGAAATCACCTGTTTTTCCTGAATTTTTTAGGTAAAATCTTATTCATTTTTTTTTTACCTAAAAGAATACAAATAATAATCTACTACTCAACTAAGTCACTTTGGGTAGTAACCTTAGTAGTTATTTTGCATCTATCTAACCAGAAAATTAGCATTCATTAAATAATCCTGCAATTTTCAAGTCAGTTGCAATTTCTCTAACTAGTAGCTTTCCTAAACCTAAGCAAGGATGTTTTCAAGATGGCATTAACTACAAGCGGAAAACTGTTTTGTCCCCAAACCTCACTTATTCTGCCCAATATATAGTGTTTTATAATCTTGACTAATCATTTTTTTCACAGACATGTTATCCAAGCAACAGTTGATCATTCTTTATTGACTATGGTGATGTAACTCTAGTATATCAGTTATATCAGACCAACATTTTTATGCAGTATTAACCAATTACAGTAGTTTTATGTAGTGACGGTTCTAGACAAAAATGTACCGGGGGGCCAGGAGGGGCCCCACGTGTTTCCATGGGGGCCCAGAAAAGCTTGTAATAAAAAACAGAGCAAAGGATTCAAATATATTAAGATAGCTTGATGAAGTGAAATTTCTATTCAATTAGGTATAATTAAAATTCCTTGTCTTGTTAGGTCATCATAATTTCATAATTCAGGAATTTTACATATTTTTAACTTAATTTAAGTTAAAATTACAGTTTTCTATAAAATCTGAATTAGAACTCAAGAAAAACGGATACATTCAGCTGTAAAAATTAGAGTATTTTCTTTTTTTTTGTTTAAAAAAAACACTTAGCAGATGAAAACTGGGATCCTATCTCAATTCCACTGAAGCTATCACCTTATTGTTTTTAGATAATTAAACAGAATTTGTGAAAAAAAAAAAAAAAGATATGGATCCAAAGGACCTATCATTAACCGTGACTGTGACAGAGCATATCATCATTAGAATTTCTTGAGTATTATGTCTACAGTACAGGGGCCATAACAGGGGCCAGGACATGGTCTACAGGGGCACTGGCCCCCTTTGGACCCTGTCTAGAACCGCCCATGTAGGTTTTCATAAAACTTTTATGAAAACCTGTACAGCCTTCATTTCCCTATTCCAAACATAAAGACATGTTAAATGTATGGATTTTTGAATATTCTATACATTAATGTAATATAATAACCTAGAGCTTTAAATACTGATGTAAAATGGTGTTCTTCCTCACAAAGATTCCTGCACAGTGGACGGCAAAACCTACCCCAACGATCAGATATGGAACCCGGAGCCTTGCCGGGTTTGTTTATGCGATAAGGGGATGGTCTTGTGTGAGGACGTGGTTTGTGAGGATTTAGGTGACTGCCAGCCCACAGAGATCCCAGAGGGCGAGTGCTGCCCCGTGTGCTCAACTGCAAAACAGCACCAGTCCGATGCCGAAGCTGGTAAAACTGCAACTTAACCCGCAGATTTACTCCCGGCTGTTTCCATCAACTTCTTCAATGTAGTGTTTGTGTATGCAGCAGCTGGTGGTGCGCTTCGTCTTTCTCTTAGCCTGAAGATCACCTCTTCAGGCTTTATCTTTTTGCACACCACTGTGGATTGTTGTTTTTTTCTTTTCGTGTTCACCCTTTAGCAGTGCTTTTTGTCAGGTTGCAGAAGGAATACATTAACTTTCAAAAAGATAAGCTCACTTCTCAACCTGTGTGTGTGCCATAATAACCTACACACAAAAGTGTGAGTAAGTAGCTTATTCACAGAATAAGGTGTATTCCTCAGGGACATCGCTGACTACATCCCTGTTTCCATGTCATTTGGATAACTTGTGTTTTTTTCTTTTGCTTTTTTCAAGCATATTTTGAATGAAGCACCAAAATGAGCATGCTTTTCTGTATGCATTTGTAGATTCTTTTTTTTTACAGAAGGTTACCTGATTTTTAAGTTTAAATTCACAGCAGACATTTGAACTGGCCGTCTTTTATGTTTGCAACCAAATCTGTACAGTAGACGAGTTTTCTGATTTAGATCAATAACCATTTTTTTCTCCCTCTATGTTTGTGTTTTGATGAAGACACCTGCACAGAAAATGGGAAAGTCTACGCCGATAAAGAGATGTGGAACCCAGAGCCATGTCGACAATGTGTTTGCAATACGGGGACCATTACATGTGAAGACGTGGTGTGTGAGGACATTGATGGTTGCCAGAAAACAGTAATCCCAGATGGGGAATGTTGTCCTGTGTGCCTTACTGTGGCTTCAACCTTTACACCAAACACAGACCCTGAAACAGGTAATTTTGGCATAACTCAACTGAATAGGACCAGACACAACAGTGACTCAAATTACATCTTTGGTGATTCAAATTCAATATACTTGAACTAGAATTTAATGAGTTGGAGTGGCATAAACTCTGAAGTAACTGCATCCCAGTTGTAAGCTTGTAGACCCTCATGTTCTGCATGGCCACCACAGCCACTGTTGCAATCATAGCAGTAAAAAATGACTGTCTTATGTGGTATTCTGTACATATAAACAGCATTGAAACATTTTGTCCTCTAGACACAAACACACAGTACCTGAATAACTGGTTTAATGCTCATCAATAATAGAGAACTGCTGCACAGGAAAAGTAGGAACATTTAGCTTCTACCTACATGGGTAGCTTCCATATTGAATGCTGAAGTTGGGTACCAGTTCCAGCGACTTTCCAAGTCGTAATTCAGACTGTCTGGGTGTTCCGGTTAACATTCCTGACTTGGAAGATGGTAAATACCTTGCTGGTTCCAGTAAAGTACACTGTAAGCCCGGGAAGGCAACCTCTTCAGTACACCTAAGGATCAAAACTGTGCCCCGTAAGATTCAACACTGCAAAAAATGGAAATCTAAATAAGTCATTTTTGCTCTAATTAAGTGCATTTTTTCTTGAATTCAGGAGGTAAGTGAGACACTTTGCCAATGAAACAAGACAATTTACACTTAAAATAAGAAAAAACAATTGCTTTGTCTTATTTCAAGTGTATATTATCTAATTATCTTATTTTAGGAGTAAAAATACTCATTCCATTGGCAGATCATCTTATTTGCCTGCTGAAATTAAGGGTAAATTCACTTCATTTAGACATTTTTTTACTTATTTCTAGATGTTTTTTGCAGTGAAGAAAGTTTTTAGAAAATTTTAAGAAGAATATTTGGAAAAATGAAAAGAAAATAGAAAACCCAGACAAAATAGATTTTGGGAAGTACCCTAAAAATTCCAGAAATGTACTCTGTTAAAAAAATAAATTGTTCCAGAGAAGCGCCTCGTAAGTTTCAAGACTGTAACTTGTAAAGTCTAGAATCCCTATTCTAAGTTTCCTGTAAGTTTTGGAAGGTGGTTTGAAAAAGGAAAAACTAGAATTTATATCCCTGATATAGATTTGGAAGGTATCTTAATTAGTGTTGCACCGATACCAGTATCGGACGGGGTCCCGATACTGCCCTAAAATGGTGCTTTCGGTATCAGCGAGTACCAACAAATAGGGCACCGATACCATTTTGAGAGCCATAAGTTTATTCAACTATTGTCACCCACTCCTGGTAGGCAATAAAAAGTTCTACTGGATTCACTTTGTATTAGATTTTTTGCTGCTTCACAAAGATAGGCAGCAGCTTGACAAAGCCATGATGGCAATTATTTTACATTATTATGGTATCGGTATCGGCCGATACTGCACAGCCAGGTATCGGGTATCGGTATCGGGGCCAAAAAATGGCATCGGCGCAACACTAATCTTAATAGCCAATGGAAAGCAATCTTTTTATTTTGTAGCAAGTAACCTGCAAGGTTCGAAATGTAACTTGCGTCTTCAGTGGTATTCAAACAGTTAGCTTCTTCCTACATCTTTAGTTTCATTGCAAGTTTTAATGGAATGCTACTTATTAGATCACAGTACAGCCTAAATTGTGATAAAAACCAACATAGATAGTTACATAAATGAGTATTTTACTGAGAAGATTTCTTTTAAGAGGAAAAAAAAATTTGCTTTGAAAAAAAAATTAAGAGAATACCTCACCTGTGCTCCATTTTTAGCTGCCGATGAAAAGAAAGCAAAAACCTGCACGGTTGATGGGGAGGTCCACCCCCACAATGAAATCTGGAAACCCGCACCCTGTCGTGTATGCGTCTGTGACGACGGAGTCTCCATCTGCGATGACATTCAGTGCGAGGTGTTGGCAAACTGCGAGAAGGTCGTCACACCTGAGGGAGAGTGTTGCCCCGTGTGCGACACCTTTGCCAGTGCCGGCAGAGCGATCGGTGAGGCCACTTTCCATTAAGGTTGATTAAATAGAGCCAACTGGAATAGTAATGACCTAACTGTTGTCTGGTTTTTGTCTTTCTTGTTTCTTTTTTATTCAAGAAATTATGGGCTTTAAGGTAAAAACAGTACTTCACATAAAAACAGGTAATCATTAAAGGAAAATAAAATCTCTAATAAGTTTATTTGGATTTTCAACAGGGGCAAAAGGGAGAACCAGGTGATATACCGTATGTAAGTATGAAAAGCTCAAAAAAGAAGTTGCCCATCATTTTTGGAGCCTCCCATAAAGATATACTTATCATCTGCTTGTTCTTTAGGTTGTGGGAAACCCAGGATCACCAGGACCTACGGTAGGTACTGGTTCAGATGAATCATAAACTCCCATTTACAAAAGAAAAACGTAACCTGCAGCCACTGTTGTAGAGGAATCACATCCTTTTTAGCATTCATTCATTGCTTTGATGGTTTAGCCACTCAGTGGTAGTTATACAGTCGGGTTTGGGATCATTGGAGCTTTGACAACCACATTTATGCCAAGTTTAACAGTAGGGTAAATGACCATTTGAAAATAATTTGGCACACTGAAGGTTTTTTTTTAAGTGCACTGTTCCTGTGACTATTAGGCTGGCCCATATCATCTCCCAATCCACCACTGTGTTTGACGGTTAGTATGGTGTCTTTGGTTTTCCCAAAATTGGCACTGCATGAGTAAAATCTCTATTTTGGTCTCATCTGTCGAGAAGACAGTCTTAGTGGCTCATTCATAATCCCCTCTACTAACCAATTTCTTGTACACATGCAAGATGTTTAACTTCGGATCCACATTCCATGTCCATATACTCTGGTATGTGGTAAGAACAGAGCACTGAGGTTCTGAGAAAGCTATAAATACCCAATATGATCCCCACAGACTGTCACTTTGGGTCCCTGAGGGGGGTTGGTAAGTTAGATGCAGAGAACCAAGTTGTCAGGATGTAAAAACAAGAGTAATAAAATAAAGATTTTTATTATAATTAAAGAAATTGAAAGATTAGAATACTTCAGAGCATCAACTCTGTCTTTCAAGCATTCACGGTGTTCATCAGAGTAAGAACCTGAGGGACTGAAGTTGGACAGTCACCTGGGCTTTAGTCATTGTATTGAATAAAGGGAGAAGACTAGTGGGCCAATTACACGCCTCTGAGGGACTCCGGTGCTCTTTGCACAACTTTCCAAACCTTAGTTTCTGGTCAGTGTAATTTTGGCTCATCTATTTTTTCAACATTCAAGATAAGATATTAGAAGCAGCATTTGAAGCAACATGAAACATTTCTTTGTCATATTTGTTGTAGATTTGCTGGCTAAGTACGATATGTTGCTGTCAGTTAGAGCGAAACATCTTTGCTTTATTTTAATCAGTTTAAAGGACCAACAAAAGATGGATTAATTCTAAAAGTTTCTAGATCTAGAAGTGTTTTGCTTTAATTATTTGGAATTTTGCTGAAGAAGGTGATGCTGATTATATTGCTTTCAGGTAAAAGTCTACATGCAAAGTCTACAAAACTTCTGGTTTTTAAAGCTAATGATGTATTTAATCTATAAGTAGTAATATTGGTTGTTGTCACAGCTTTGGCGCCCCCTACTGATAGTTTTCCTGTACTGGAAAACTTTTTATGGCCAAAATAAAAGCAGAATTTAAGGTGACTATATGAGCCTTCTTTAAGTGTTACATTCAATCAAATATGGATCACAAACCTCTTAATAAATCAGAAAGCAATTCAATTTAGATCTATTTTAGTAATTAAAATTATAACATGAAACTTCTATAATATAAATTCAACACATATAGAGTTATGTACTCATGGTGTTTACATCCATTGCTCTTGATGTGTATGATTATTATCACAAGAGCCCCAGGCTGCATGATGGAGCAGCTGTTGTGTCACAGTAAGAAGGTCCTGAGTTTAAATCTTGGCCTGGGTTTTTTTCTTTATAGAGTTTTATCAAGTTACTCTGGCTGTTATAGCTAAAACTCTTGGGACAATTAATTGCACTAAATTACCCTATTTTCTAAATGTGTGTGGGCATGTTTGTGTGTCTCACTTTTCCCATGTGATGGACGCCTCTCATCCACTAAATGCTGAAGATAGGCAACCCTTAGATATTCTATATAAGGAGTTGAAAAATACAACAACATAAAAATGCCTGAGGTTTTATTTGTGTTTGTCTTCATAAAATAGATTTAAAAAAAAATAATGTTATATTTATCTTGTTTTTCAGGGCCCTCCAGGACCCCCTGGAAGAATGGGACCAAGAGGCTTCAAAGGCAGACGAGTGAGTCTAGAAATATGTTTTAGATTTTCATCTAAGATAAGGAATCCTTCTAGCCTGACGTAGTCCGACTCAATTCTAGTCAGAATATGAGTCTGATACTGCTCCATAGAGCTGTGATTATGGGGCGTGTTTTGAACGAACCAGGAAAAAAAATGCCTCTGTACTCAATTGGATAGACCTACAACCAATAAGAGCAACGGAGTGCGTGACGTATCTTAAGCGAGGCATAGTTGTTGTCCACAAAAATCAAAGCGTGCAGTTGCACGCCTAGAATAAGAAGATGAGCCTTGATCGCGTTTCTCTGCTCCTCTTTTAAAATTAATTTGCTGTCGATATCTTCTAGAACAGACCTAATAGCAGAATCTACTCACCTAAACTCTCCAGCGGCAGCCATTATTGTTGTCACCCAAGCGCGCTTTGGTCACGTGGTTGATAACGTTACTCTTGATCATCTGTCCATCATCGTATAAAGCCCGCCCTGACAATTTGATTGGATCGCCTGACAGTGGGCTTTAATACTCGCGCTACTATGGAGCAGAGCCAGACCGAACTTCCCCGAACTCAAACCTTGTGGGCGGGACTAAGTTCGGACTGGCACCCAGGCTAGAATCCTTCCCCATTCTAAAAAAAAATTAACAAGTGTACAAAAACATACTCTTTTTGAACCACCTTCTTCAAAAATATACAACAAATGTGGATTTTTCCCCATCCCAGACTAAGGAACGTATTGTCGCTTCAATGCATACAAATTTGCTATATTAAAAGATGCTAATAATAATAATAAAATCCTAAAAAAGAGAAACAAAAAAAACTGGATCGAACATCAATTCAATGCACATAAATATGAGATAATATAACCTAAAAGGTCATCACTTGCATCGTCCTGCAGAAAGATAAGAAAAAATCTGCTGGTCCCTTAATAAAATCCCCTCTTTATCTGGAACAAACTTCCAGAAAACTATAAAGGTGTGGAAAGCCTGAGTTCCTTTAAATCAAGACTAAAAAGACATTTGTTTAGGATTGCCTTCAACTGAAACATCATTAGTTCAACTTTTTTATTTTCTTTAGTCCAACTGTTTTTAATGTTCTTTTTTGTTTCTGCATTTTTTATTTAATTTTTTCCCTGCTCGCTTTAATTCTGTTTTATTTTCCTATATTTTAATCACGTAAAGCACTTTGCATTGTGCTATACAAATAAATTTGCCTTGCCTCTAGACCTGGGCTGCACCAAGAAATCATGTCTATGTAAATTATGCCCGGAGACAGAGTGCAGAGTCCAACATGCACTGAAAGGAGATCCAACTTAATAAATACAATGGGAACCAGATTATTGTTTATTGTTTAAATTAATTGATATTTGAATATTCCATATTAGGAACATATAACTGTTTACACCAAACCTGTATTTACATGATAATGCAATCAAGGCTTGTGGTTTAGTTCTCTGAGACCAAAAAGGTAAAGTCCAGTTACCACAAACTGACAATTAAATGAAATCTACTGGTTTATCCACAGTTGTGCCTTTTGATAATTAAATATGTTCCTCTATAAAGGCAGAATGCATTTCACTGAAGGCTTCATTAATCCCTATTCCTTTGGCAGCACATAAAATACGTCACTTGTGCAGAACACTGCTAATGTATAAAACTGTAAAACCTGTACATGCATAAAAATACATATAAACACTCAATACAGTAAAAGGGTTTCATTAAAAAGATTAAGAAATATTCAAATAAAACTCAATGTTAAAAGAATTAACTAAGATTTTTCAATGTAAGACCCTCAAAAGCTGAAAATGGTCCTACAAACTCGAGTAGATACTCACCACCATTACTCTGACATTTAATCTTTATTTCTTTACAAACTTTTTAGGGTTTTACAGGACCGCCAGGATTTGACGGCGAGCCCGGTGTGCCGGGAAATCCAGGACAACCTGGACCCCCCGGGGAGTCCTCTCCTCCTGGAGTGAGAAACCTCTTACCTGTCCCTTTTTTTAAACGTTCCATCTTCAAAATAGTTCAAAGTTGTTGACCGGTTTCTCCTTTAAGGCAAATCTGGTGTCACAAATGGCTACAGGTTTTAGCGAGAAGTCCAGTTTTGCTTCAATGATGACAGCACAGAGGGTGAGTATGTGAGCTAAAGAAGCAAAATTTAAACTAAGATTTATAATTTCATTACCTGAGTATAAAACAATCCTGCTGCAGGGTGAAGCAGGACCGCGAGGACTTCCTGGACCAACTGGACCTCCTGTAGGTTTTACCATTTTATCCATATTTAGAGAATAAATCATTTAGTTTTAGCAAACTTCTGCAAAAACTATTTGTATGTCTTATATTAGGGGGCAACTGGTGGTCAAGGATTTCCTGGAGAACATGGAGACCCAGGACCAATGGTAGGATCTGTTCCTTATCTTAAGTGGGATCCTGGGCTGAGGGCAAACAGATACTAAATCCCAAGCATGAGTTTGAACAGCAAATATTGAGCAGAAACTTGTAAAAAATAAAGGCTGCATGCATGACATCTACCAGATTATATTTCTGTAGGTATGTCTCTTTGAAAGAAATGTTAGAAAGCGATCCTTTTCCCCCAATTTTCAAAAAAGGTGATTTTTTCCCACAGGGCGAGCCTGGTCTTCGAGGACCCGATGGACCACCTGGGAAACCAGGACCTGATGTAAGTCAGTAATGTGCACATCCTCAATTTTGGTCTAATTCAAATAAATACTTCAAGCTTCACTTTTTTTTTTTTTTGGTTAGGGCGGAGCTGGGCCTGAAGGGGCAACTGGAGAGCCAGGATTTCCAGGATCACCGGTAACCATAATCCACGTTTGCTCAGCAAAATATCCTGGAGAGTTTAAAATTGCCTGAAAAAAAAAACTATGGGTCTGTTTTAAATGCAGGGCGCAAGGGGATTCCCAGGACTTCCAGGTCTTCCAGGACGAAAAGGCCCAAAAGTAAAAAAAAAAAAGGATAATTTCACATTGTTTTTCCTATGAAACAGATAAAAGACTAAGCTGAATTTTATCCTCTCACCAGGGAACCTCTGGTCTTGGAGGGCCAAAAGGAGAGACTGGAGCAGTCGGAGCAAAGGTATGAAATCCTCCTGATCCAGTTCTATCCGAAGTAGCTGTAATGACAAGGAAGAGTGCATTCAATCCATCTATTGGTTTATTCCAGACCAAATCATATTAAGAGATACTTTAGCACAATGTGCTCTCTCTAGCTAATTACTACAGCCCAGCTAAGGTGATTCTAACATTTTCCTTCAACAACCAAGAGATGTAAGAATCTTGCTCTATCTTGGGGCTCCTGTCAGTGGAAAATACATTAAAACACCTCCTAAGGTGTAGAAGATATACTTCAAGATGCCAAAAGCACCTTGCTGGGGGAGGAACACGTGTTCTATGCAGACTTGAAGACAAAGACATTTTATTTTCCAAATTTTGATACCTCTCCTGTTGTCTAAATATTGCATGATTCTTTCTTTAAACTATCTTGGACTTGTGACAGTCTTTACTCTTTTCTTTAAAATGTATGATTAACCCAACCCTATCAAACTCTTGCTCTAATCCACTTCCATTGGTGAACCAAATAATCAGATATCTAAACTCATCACCTCTGAGCTGTGAGTTTTCCCTATCCCGAAGGTGATAAAACCACCCTTTTTCCGATATGGGACCATGACCTAAGATTTGGATCCTCTAATTAGATATTGCCTGATGCATTTATTCTAAATGCCAAAGCTGATGCGGTCTAAATCCCTTTATTGTCCCACAATGGGGAAATTCATTCACTGCATTTAACCCATCCCCTTGGGGAACAGCGGGCTGCCATTGGGTGGCGCCCGGGAAGCAATCAGCGATTAAGGTATACTTGCAACCTTCTCAGAGCACAAGCGCACTGCTCTAATCCACTGTGCGATCATTTAGATGACAAAGAAAATGCAATGGATAACATGGCTGCTGATTGAACAGATGAATAGGCGAGCATGTACGTATAGGCTGATGCGGATACAAGAAAAAAGGACGGCAGATGTATCCCTCTGACGTTAGCTCTAATCCCTATACAGAAGTGTGTTTATTGCCAAGCCGACTTGATAAAAACATAAAATGAACTTAATGAACTGAATAAATAGAGAAAAAAAACTCCCTACTCCCAATGTTTAGCCAGCCAAATAGTACATCGTTATGGTAATAAAGCTGAGATTACCAACACCCCTTGAATTTACCTCAGGTAATGAAATCCAGGTCTCACTCCGATTCTAAAGGGAATGAATGGCTTTTAGAAAAGGTGTCTCAATATACAAAGTTGTAAGTCCTTTTTAAATCAGGTAAGCTCTCAATGTCTGGTTTGGCAATCTATTTCATAGACCCTTAGATGATACAGAGAGGGTAAAGAGAATGGCCTTATGGTCTAACTGAGAAAAAGCAACTTGATCTTACTCAATCTAGGATTTGTGGAAATCTTTAATCTGCTTTAAACGGGTTCTACTCCCTGACTCTTCCAGACAGGCTTAGGAGAACAGCATTCAGTACTCAGTTTTCTTTTAATATTTCCATCTCTTCAATGTTTATAGGGGGTATTTCCTGCCATTACTGTTGCAAGTAAAGAGCATGTTTCTGTAATGAAAAAAAAACCTTCAAGAAATAAAACTTTTCATTCATTATATATTATTTTTGTGCTACTTTTTCAAATGTTTTTCTAATTCTTTCAAATTTGACTTTTTTATATTGACTTTTTACGAATTGCATTGTTTTCAAATTTGGTTTTACAGATTATTTTTACTTAAATTCTGTGGGCAAGCTTTCATCTGAAGGGAGGAGCGAATATGCATTTCTATCAGACTAGATGGACGTTAAGCAACAACAGTTTTATTGGTCAAAAGCGAGCATTTATATTTGAAATGAAAAGAATATGATCTTCCTCCCACAGTCCAAAAACATGACTGTTAGGTTAATTGGCTTCTCTAAATTGTCCTTAGGTGTGAGTGTGTGCATGAATGGTTGTTTGTCCTGTTTGTCTCTGTGTTGTCCTGCGATGGACTGGCGACCTGTCCAGGGTGGACCCCGGCTCTCACCCATTGACAGCTGGAGATAGGCACCAGCACCCCTCGCGACCCCAATTGGGACAAGTGTGTCAGATAATGGATAGATAGATGGATGAATGGATGATCTATAAAATACAATAAAAAAAAAACATTTGAAAATATATAATCTGTATAGAAAAAATTTAAAAAATACAAAAAACTAAGTTTTTTAAAGTTTAATTTACTGAGCCAACAGTCTGAGTAAAACCCTTTCTCTTGAATAGAAGAATGCCAGTCGTCTTCCAGGATTATTTATATAAAACTACATTGATATGCCTCTCATTGTGCTCTGCAGGGTGGATCAGGTAGTGCTGGTGAAATGGGCCCCCCAGGACCCCCGGTAGGCAAAAAATGCATTCAAAACCAGACCAAAACAACAATACCAATTTATTCTGTGTCTACTAATTGTTCACAATTAACCTAACCCTTATTTCAGGGTCCACCAGGTTTGCAAGGAGAACGAGGCAGAATTGGACCCACTGGTTCTTTGGTATGAAACCAACTCTTTAGAAATAAAAGTTTAGAAATTTCAAAGTGTGAATGATAACACGCTGTTTTTCAACCAGGGTAAACGTGGTACACCCGGCCATGTTGGCAAACCAGGACCTATGGTAAGTGCGGCATTTGCTTGTTATTTTCACATTTTAATGTAATCATTGTTCTAATTTGTTTTATATGCATATCTTTTGGCACCCCTGGAGAACAAATAATACTTTGACCGACAGAGCAAAGAATATGAATTTAAAGTTATCTATATCACCTCAGGGTCCTATAGGAATTCCAGGTATTCCAGGATTCCCTGGAAATCCAGGGATGAAGGTGAGATTGCTCACTTTCTTATTTCCAGAATTACTTTTAGGTATGGCCGAGAAATCAGGAAGGGATCCTGAATACTAATAAAGTTTCCTTAAAGACGACCTTGTTGTGTCCTGTGAGTTAGGGTGAAGCAGGACCTACGGGAGTAAGAGGAAGTAGAGGACAGCAGGGACCAAGGGGAGATTCTGGACGCGTTGGACCGCCCGGACCAACTGGACAGCGGGTGAGTCCAATCCGGCAGTTTTTAAGACAAGGTTACTTTTTGGTATCTTGACAAGGTAGGACAATTGGACGAAATGATCAACAATAGATGGTAGGCTCAGCTCTTCATTTATGTATTTATTTATTGTTTTAAGCCGTTGGGGATAGAATAGAATAGAATAGAATAGAATAGAATAGAATAGAATAGAATAGAATAGAATAGAATAGAATAGAATAGAAAATCCCACATATTGTCCCACAATGGGGAAATTCTGGTGCTTACAGCAGCGAAAAGATTATAGGAAAAATTGTCACACAAATGTGGACCGTAGATAATGTATAAGAGTAACATAATAGTGAAGAGTTAAAAGACAAACAATAAAATACTGTACTGTAAAGTGTTTTAGCAATATAAATACTATGCACTTGGAGAATAAAAAAAACAATATATAGCTGTGGACATTTTTACAGTAATGGATATTTGAAAATGGCAATAACATCAGAGATGTGCAAAATGACAGCAGCATGTTATTTAACTGATTAAGAGAGAAACTTTGCAGTATCAGCATGAATGTAATGTGTTGCATGCGCAATGCATGTTGGGTTGATGATGCTCTTAGGTCTTCTTGGACTGGAACCTGCAAAGTAAACACAGGAAGGCTAATATAACCAGAGTTGTGTAATAATGGTATAAATTGTGACTTTGAAAAAGGTGCAAAATCAAACGCATCCTAAAGAAGCTGAGACTAGGTGCTGAATAGCAGATGGATCTCAGATAACAAAATCTAAAAAAATAAATAATGGATCTGTACACTAGTTTTAGCTCCCAAGTTATTCTCTGTGTCAACATTTTCATGAGGCGTTATGTGTTGAAACAAACGAAAGTAATGGATTTGCAATCTATGGTTTACTATAAGCTATCAGCTAGAGCTAACAGCATTAGCAGAAGATAAAATAACATCAAAATCGAATCAGAAGATAATGACCAATTGTTAATTAGCATATTTCAGTAGTTGTAATGCATCGTTCTAATATATCTGAGAAAATGTTTCAATTCCAACGATAAAGGTAAACAGAGTAAGTTAGAAACTGAGGCACTACTACCATCTCTTTTTCCTTCTTGTTGGTCCTCCCTTCATCTTCATTATCCCTTGTGATTTCCCATTTCTAGTTTACAGTCTTTGCCAATGTTGTATTTGTTCTGGTCACACAGGATTGCACTTGAGAACTACATGCGTTTGCTGAACTGCAATCATTAGAACCAGCTGTAGTGGAGGAGCAGGGAAACCTCTAAAACCTGCTGGACAGTGGCTCTCAAGGGCTGCCCTGATTTATTACATTACCCTGACCATGGAATAAACAATTTTTTTGTGTGCCTTATGGAGCTCTTGTCTTCTCTCTAAAAGCTGTTGATGGAACAGCATACACCAAAGAATTGCAATACTTTGCCAGAAATGACCTTTTCTTTTGTTAATGGAAGTGTTAACTGCCAATTTAGTGGTCGATAGAGTCCTAGTCGTTACTGCACTGGTGCTGTTGTCTGTAGTTGCATAACTCTTTCTCCATAATGCACTCCCTGAGCTCCTCAGCAAGCACTTAAGCCATGGAGTAATTGGGAACATGTGATTTCAAGACATTTTCCATATAATTCTAAGATTTACAAAGGCTCCTTTTCCAGCATATAAAGCAACATAATTTCCTTGCTGAGATATTTAGATACTTCCAAAGTGCACTTTGCCCTTCTGGGGCTTTCCTTTTAATCTTTTTGAGTTTTTACGGCACCAGTGGACCATTTTTTCTACAGTAGGCCGACAGGAAAGAGGGTATGAGAGAGGGAGACGGACATGCGGCAAAGGACCACACCCTTTAGTCAGAGTCAAACCCGGGTCGGCCACGTAGGGGACCTCTATACATGTGTTGTGCACACCAACCACTGCACCACCTAAGCACGCCCGTCTTTTTAATTATTTAACTGTTTTTGTAAAAGCACTTTAAATTTTCTGCTTCCAGATATTGATGATGGAGCAACAGCATCTGATGATAGATATGCATACTCAGGCGTATGGCGAACACATAAATGTTTATGCAAGTTTGTCATGTTGAGTCCTTTGCTGGTGCCAAAAGTTGCCTTAGTTACATCCTGTGGTTTACCTGTTTTTAAGCCAAAGTAATATCAAATAGTTGACTTTGTATTTTTTCATTTGCAATTAGTTCCTCCATTTTTGACATTGGTGTTATAATGCCAACTGTTACCAACAGTTCAGCAAAGGAAAGTAGCTACTGACTGTCCTTAAAGTTGCTAGAATATATTGCCAATTGCCATCTCTTAGACATTTGAATATAATTGTTTTGAAAACGGTTGATATATTGCCCAACCGTATCTATTAAATGACTAAATATGCCGCTTTTGCTGTCAAAACAGGGTACACCAGGACCTGATGGTGCCCCGGGTGCCCGTGGTTCCTCTGTGAGTTTTTGACGAATGCTTTATACAAACAAGTTTGTTAAACAAACTTGTGATATACTTTTTATAAAACATATCTTGTCTTATTTTTTAAAGGGTATAGCAGGTGTACAGGGTCCACCAGGATTTGTTGGTCCAGCTGGTCCTCCCGGCTCCCAGGGAACCACTGGAGCGCCAGGACCAAAAGGCCAATTGGTAGGGATGTTATACATTTACAGTTGATTTTTTTACATTTTAAGTGATTTAATCCTGAAGAATAAAACATCATGTCCTTCTCTCCATCAGGGTGATGGGGGACTGCCAGGACTTAAAGGAGAAGCTGGGCTTAAAGGAGAAAGAGTGAGTTAGAACTCCACTGTCCATCATCTTTGGTTTTGTTATTTTTACTGACAAATTAATTGGTGGTAGGGTGACCATGGCATTCCAGGGCCAATTGGTCCTATGGGGGAGGATGGAAAACGTGGACCTCGAGGGGATGCCGGATCCATTGGTCCTCCAGGACCACAGGGGGAGACGGTGAGTCAGCAAATAATCAGGTATGGAAACTTTCTTCAGGAAGTTGTTTAATCCAAAGTGTTTCATAACCTAGGGACCACCAGGAAACAGAGGTTTTCCAGGTGCGGATGGTTTACCAGGTCAAAAGGTTAGTCGTTAAATCGCTCACAGCATTTGTCGTGGTGGACGATGGGGTTTCTAAATATCTGATTCATGCCCAGGGAGCCCAGGGTGAGAGAGGATTGCCGGGATCACCTGGCATCAAAGGTTTGGCTGGAGACCCGGGTCGCAATGGAGAGCAAGGTCTAACAGGAGCACGGGTAAGATGATAGATTTTAACCCTTTTTTGTTAAGTAGGCCAAATTTCTTGTTGCTGGTGATTCACATTTAGCAGAAAATAGATCTAAATATGTGAACATTTGAACTGTATATTTATATTATATACTGATATATAGAGATGGATTCATTAATGTAAAAGCATTAAAAAGGATCATTTTAACATTTTACCCACGAATAAACTGAAGCTCACTGTTGTGTATGTAAATAACTGTTTTGATTTGTTATTTGAATGTCCATGTTTATTTGCCTCATTTTCCAGGGTCTCTCAGGGCCTATTGGTGCTCAGGGAGCAGAGGGAAGGCAGGGACCAATGGTACCGTTTTTCCTCAAGCTTTTAAAGCAAAACAGTTTTGTGATACCAATGTGCTGAAATTGTTTCCCAAATACAATGTATTGAGTTTTCTCCATGTGTGTATAGGGTTTGGCTGGAGAGGATGGTAAACCTGGCCCAGCTGGCCCGACTGGAACCAGAGGTGGTGCTGGAGTGATGGGTCTTCCAGGGCCAAAAGGGTTCCAAGTAAGTCTGATGGCTATTGATCTGATGGTTCTACAGTTAGACCTCAGTAACTTGTAACAAAAGACTAAACCATTGATTTGTTTATAGGGTGATGCTGGAAAGGTTGGAGAAGCCGGAACTCCTGGAGCTCCTGGTCAAAGGGTTTGTTACTTTGAACCATGTAATGCTTCATTATCTTCACAATTATAAAGATATTTTATGTAACTGTGTTCTCTTTTTGTTTTCTAGGGAGCAAATGGGAAAGACGGAGAAACAGGTGCAGCCGGTCCACCTGGCCCAGCTGTAAGCATGTTTTTTTTTAATTTTTTTTATTTAAAGGTGAAATTTTGGATTCTTGTAATTTACTTTGGCTGATTTATTTATTTAGGGTCTTGCAGGAAAGAGAGGCGAGCAGGGACCTCAAGGACAGGCGGGTTTCCAGGTAAATTACATAAAAGGAGAGTTTGGAGTAGAATCTGGAAGGGTTTTTCTTTCATGGTCCAAAAGAGGTAACCATCCTTTATTTATGATGTTGGGTGGTTTCACCCCATCTTAATATCACCAAAAAAGTTGGATACAAAAAAACAAAAAACTTGTTCTTTTTTATAGCAGTTTTTATAGCATTTTAACTTCTTCAGCATATGGAGAATGTTCCCACCAGCCCACTGGAGACACCTGAATCATAGCTGTATAGTTTTTTTTTTTAGTAATGAACAAGAACCATGAGCTACTCAATGCTGAGGCCTTTTTATTCTTTGGTAGATGCTCAGAAACCTTTGATTCGCTTAATCCAAAGAGCCAGTTTGAGCATTAATATCACTTTCTAGGAATGACCCTCTTTAGTATTTGTAGTTTTTTTTGTCGAAATTACTTACTTTTGTATTTTTAACTGAAAATATAGTTCTTATCCAGAGCAAATTTCATACACCTATTATTTAAATCTTAAGGGGACATTTTTGGCATTTTGGTAAGAAGGTATGTTTTCTCTTCTTGCCTCTAATGTTAACTAATAGTGTGATTGGTATTCTCTAGGGTTTGCCTGGACCTTCAGGTCCACCCGGAGAGTCAGGAAAACCAGGCGACGCGGTAAGAGAAAGAGCCACAAGTTCAGATTTTAAACGCACATAAACGCATATATTAAGAAATTAGAATTTGGTTGTTTACTAGAGTATCTTTTGGTCTTTTTTCAGGGTCTAGCAGGTGAGATGGGCACTGTTGGAGAGACGGGACCAAGAGTAAGTCCATCAACCCAGCTAATTATTATTTTTTCCTTTTTCACCAGTTATTCTGTTTTATTTATATATATAATGTTATCTGCTGTAATGAAGGTTGCCTGACATGTCATATTGCCTGTCCTTATAGGGCGAAAGAGGCTCACCAGGAGAAAGAGGAGAAACTGGACCTAATGGGCTTCAGGGACCTAAAGGTAGTCCAGGAGCCCCAGGGCAGGATGGACCCAAGGTAATGTTAAAAAAAAACACCCCAAATAAAATTGATTGATCAAACCACAATGACTGGCTCCCTAGATGTTCTCTACCATCTATCCCTTTGGAACCCTCAAACATGTCTCTTGGCTCATCAAACCATTCCTCAACCAAATTTGGTTTGTAGCATTGTGTAAATGTTGCTACCAAAAGAGGCCACAACCATCAGGGAAAACTGATTCAGTAAAGGGTTTATATGCTAGGCTAAAACGTTGCAGTAACAGGGGTGGCATGACCCAAAGCAGTCTTCAAGAGCCACCATCCTGTAACTTTCCTGCCACTCAATTGATACAGGTGTGTTAAAAATGGCCTGCATCAAAAAGCTGCAGGATAGTGGCTCTTGAGGATTATCCTGCAACTTTTTGCCCAAAGCATCACACTGCATCAACTTATAGAGGTTCTCCATAGAACTGTATGATATTAGGTAACAGGTCTAGCGCCCCTCGTGGCCAAAGGTTACATAGTTTTACTTTAAAGATGTTACAAGATGCACTATTAAGTATTAATTTATTGATCCTGTTATCTGATATTCATTGTATTCCAACCACTTCTTTGTGATATTGATAATGTACATCATGATATTGAGATAACAAGGCTTGAGCGATTTATTGCGATGCCTTACTTAAAAATTCGACCTAATTGGTGCATGTAATACATTTTAGGGTAGCCCGGGTCCACAGGGTGCTGCCGGAGAGCCAGGTGGGCCAGGGCTTCAGGGGATGCCGGGAGAAAGAGGTATTCCAGGACCCTCAGGACCAAAGGGAGATCCTGTAAGTTAAAGGAATATAACCGTATCATCTGCGAAGAAACTGAGAATGCATCATTGATGTGGAAACTACAGGCAAAAAGCATGAAAACTTATGTTGATTTGCACAATCAGGGTTCTGTTGGAGACAAAGGACCAGAAGGAAAGGCTGGAGCGGATGGTGCTAGGGTATGTCAACTTCAGACAATTGCACACATTTTGGGAAAGATTTTAATTTATTTACATTTATGACTCTAACATATGTATTTATATTTTAAAGGGTCTTGCTGGTCCAGTCGGACCTGCCGGTCCCAGTGGACCAAATGGAGAAAAGGTAAGCTGAAGATCATATTTTCTTGGTGTTTTTAACAGATTTCTTTCAAGCAATTATAAAACAAAAAAAATAGAGGTTTAATTTGACATCATCTATAACACTAGCTCAAAATATTTAGACTTTTTTAGACTTTAGACAGATTGTATTTGTCAATTTGTTTACACAAGTGTAAAAAAAAAAAGAAACGTCGTTTGGAAACAGCTCACTGGACAATTTCATCTTTTTAAAGGTGCAGGATTGAAAAATAGTAAAAATGGCTGTAAATTTACAGTTCTAACATATATAATGATATATCAAATGATATCAAGATCAAAGCAAAATGAATTTATTTATTTTTTTCAATTTCAGGGTGAAACAGGGCCGCCAGGACCAACAGGGCGCCGAGGCACCAGAGGAACCCCTGTCAGCATAACTTCTCACACCTTAATTGATCTATTTGGCCATTTCTTTTTGCTTTGTTAATTATTACTGTCTTATTTTTATTTTTCTAATGAATAGGGTTCCAGCGGTGAGCCTGGTCCAACCGGAGCAGTCGGCTTCCCTGGACCTTCTGTAAGAGTCTTATCAAAATTCAAAGCACACCTATGAATACAAAATGAAAAGTCTGATTTAAGTCTGTAGACTACAGCCTTAGCTAATGTGGTGTATTTTTTAAGGGTCAAGATGGTCAGCCAGGGGTTAAAGGTGAAACAGGAGAACCAGGACCTAAAGGAGAAGCAGGAGCTCACGGGCCTCAGGGAACGGCTGGAAAACCCGGTGAACAGGTAAAAACTCAAATTTTAAATCTGTAAAGTCTGAAGGTAATGTATTTGTTGTTTTTTGTCTTAAATAATTTAAGATTGTCTAACTGTAACAATGACGTCTGTATCTTTTAAGGGACCGGTTGGAGTGACCGGGCTCAAAGGAGGCAGAGGAACTCAAGGCCCAGTTGTGAGTCAAGCCCCTATTTCATGGGCGTAGGTTTGCATAGGGACCACATGTCCCATCTAATTGTCCCTACCAACAATTAGATGTGAATAACATGTTTATAATTTAAAGTACAGCTTTTTTGCAGCAGTAGAGGAGTTCTGGATGGAGAATATTGACAGACGAAAACAGTTTTTATCTAAAATGTAAAATGATTATATATTTATTTACAATTTTGGCATAATTTCTAATTCGGTATAATATTCTGAATGCCCGGTGTCAGTTCCAGTGCTCATGTAAATACAATACATTTATTTGGCATCCCTTGAATCTATTATTTTGCTTTGTTTCATGATACAGAGAGAATATTTAAAAGATAAGAGTAGGTTTTACCTCTGTTTGCCTCTGCATAATTGTATATATTCAAAAGAAAACAGGATAAATCCTCATATAACAGACATATTTAGACTATATTTTGTTAAATAGGATTTACTTTCTGTCTTAGTCGCTGGTAATTTCAAATTCAAACTTTTTCAAAGAGGAAAAAAGTCCTAATTCCTTATTCATCAGAGGTGGTGATGCTTCAAACATTGATAAACAGCATCTAGTGTGTTTAGTGCTTATAAAATGTGTTCAAATGTAGCAAGAGATGCTGCTTTTCTCTATAAACAAAATACACCCTGATTTTCACGACAAGCATAAAAAAACGAGAATGCATATTTTTGCATCAGACCAATAGTGACTCTACCAAAGTTGAAATCAAACCTATGCCCTTACCCTATACTCCTGAAATTACTATATTCTGCAGCTTGGATGGTGAAAGCTTTTGTCTAAAAGGGAGTATTTCTCTATGTAGGGGTCTCCTGGTTTTCCTGGACTTCCTGGAAGAGTTGGACCCCCAGGTTCAGTTGTGAGTTGTATACCTTAGTTTTAAAACCTGTAGTTAAAAAAAAAATTCTCTCCAAATAAGCAGTATAAACAAAAACAAACAAAAAATACCTGTGTTTCAGGGGGCTACTGGAGCTGATGGGCCCATAGGCGCTCCTGGAAAGAAAGGCCCTCCAGGAATTCGAGGAGAAAATGGTGCTCAAGGTCGTCAGGGCGAGAATGGACAGCCAGGACCAGCAGGAAGCCCAGGAGAGAAGGGAGGGCCAGGAGAGGACGGTCCTCCGGTACGATAGCGTAAAGCACTTTCTTATGAGACACTCTATAATGAAGATTTAAAGCTATAATTCTTCTTTTTCAGGGACCCGATGGGCCCCCTGGACCCGCCGGCACAACAGGGCAGAGAGGAGTAGTAGGTCAGCCAGGAGTTCGAGGAGAGCCAGGCTCTGTAGGACTGCCGGGTCCTGCTGTATGTATTCCTGTTGATGCGTTAATGCTGCCCATCCTTCTTAATAAGCCACAAATTCATGGGATTCATTTCTACTCTGTTATTTGTCTGCCAGGGTCCACCTGGAAAACCAGGAGCTCCCGGTACTCAGGGGGCCAAAGGTCCTCCTGGTGGAGTTGGTTTACCCGGAGCCAAAGGGCCAAGAGGAGATCCTGGTCCTGAGGTTCATCTTTTTCAGCTACTTTTATTGACATTTATTTATTTATTTTATTGTAATTCATGCTTATTTCATACACACATCATCATTTTGTCAGACAAAATTAGAAATGATAAATAATTTGTTATAGTTGCATGTTATAAAGGCTTTTTGTAGATTTTCTGCTGAAATTTTCTTTGCAGATGATGGAACTTTTTATATTACCAAATATATATTTGGGGTTTTTAGCTTTCTGGCAAAACATGAAGTTTTTGTTTGTTTCTTCATATTATTATTTAGGGCATTGCTGGAGCTGAGGGGTCTCCTGGTAAAGATGGTCTGGTAGGAGAACGGGTGAGAATAAAAACTTTTTTTCAGAATTTTTATTACTTTCATCATCTTATCAGCATGATTTCTTTAGTCATACTATCAGAAGTAAAACTCCATGTTTTTTTTTATTTGATTTTCTTTTAGGGAGATCAAGGAAACCCAGGCCCGGAGGGTTTGCCTGGTGTGGCGGGGTCACCGGGTAACGAGGGTCCAGTGGGAACGACTGGTAATCCTGGACAAAGAGGAGAAAATGTGAGATTTATAAAGAGTTCAGCTTTAAAATTATATGTTCAAACCACTAAGCCATCCTTTTATGTCTCTGGTTGTTTTAATCTTAGGGTGCAAGAGGGCCCCCAGGACCCCAAGGGCAGCCTGGTATACGAGGAAAAGTGGTAAGACAGTTTTGCCCACTTGACATTGCTTTGATTTATTAAGTTTAATACTCTTTTATTTCATTGTTTCTAAGGGATTAACTGTTGTTTTTTGTCGGTGCAAAGGGCCCTCAAGGACCACAGGGAGAAAAGGGAGGAGTTGGAGAACCTGGCGAAAGGGGTCAGAAAGGACACAGAGGCTTCACAGGACTCCAGGGTCTCCCTGGAACAACCGTAAGACAGAACTTTCAAACTGAAGCAATAAAGTTTTAAATGTATCACTACTGGTTAAAAGTAGGATATAGAGACAAATTATACTGTATTTACCAATGGTTTATACGACTGAAAGCTAAATCTGTAAAACCATTTACACTCTGAACATCCTTAATTACTAATTATTGGCAAATCCAGCTAGGAATTAATACAAAAAATAAAGTCACATATTAAAATTTGCTTGTTAAAATGTGATACAGGAATTAAACATCAATATGTTCTTTTGACGGGAATATGGAGTGAATTTTATTCCATTATTGTTGCAAAGAACACATTTCTTAACTAGAAATTTGAAGAAAATGCAATCCAGAAATAAACCTTTGAAAAAAAATGATGTATAACTGTGCTATTATCAGGTATGATTATCAAATAATTTTATTTAAAAATGTTGTTAAAATTTTTTTGTTTAGTTTAAAAAAAAAAATGTTTTTGTTTTTCAGATTGAGTTTTATGAATTGTGTTGTTTTTTTTAAATAGCGTTTTGCAGATTATATTTGCTTTACTTCAGGGGGCGGGCTTTTTTAAAACATTTTAATTGCTCTAGAGTGAGCATTTTGAAACTATTTGAAAAGAAAACGATTTGCTTAACTCAATCTAAAAAAACAATTATGAAAATATAAAATTAAAAAATATTCAAACCTGAAAAAAGAAATTAAGTTAGAAAAAAGTGTATTTGAAAAATAAAATCTGAGAAAACAAAGTTTCTCTTTGAATATTTTAAAAGTCTAATTTCTGAATGGCATTTTTTTTTTCAAATCTCACTAACAAATCATGTCTATTGCAAATTGCAGCAATAATTGAACAAAATTCACTTCATACATGAACAGGAAATCAAGTAAACTGAGTGATTATGACTATCAACTAGTGATTAGGAATATGGGGTAATTCTTTCAAGAAGCAAGTCCACATTATTAAAAAGCTGGATTTTTTATGTTTAAGGTTAGATTAAATTTTTCAGTAATCCTCTCATTTAAACCTCAGATCACAGATCTTTACGTACACTACTCCTACACTCTTCCTCATGACTACATTTCTCTACCTTGTAATAGTTTCAACCATTAGAATGAGTTTGTGACTGTGACATTGCTGCTTTCTTCAGGTTGTGCTTGTCTTTAACTAAGTATTTATTTTTGTAAGCCAACTATTTAAGAAAAGCCAGGTTCGCACCTTTTGGCCTACATAAAAATACCAATCCACCTCATACTGGATTCTGCACCAGGTTCTAACCAACACCCAGGTTAATACATTAAATGTTAGATCTCTTTTAAGACAGGAAAGTATTTTGTCTTTATTTATAAAAAGACATTAAAAAGGAGAAGGAAGGCTGGAGGTATAAGAAGATAATGACAAAGACAAAAAAAAAAAACACCAAAACACTCTGTACTGTATCCTAGATGCTCACTTCGGCATCCCAGTGTCCTGGTCTTTATCATTTAGATAAACAGCCATGCAGAGATAATAGTTAATATGTGATCTCCTCTGATTCAGGGTGCTACAGGAGACGCAGGAGCTCGAGGGATTGTTGGACCAGCTGGACAAAGGGTAAACTGAACGAGACTATAGCATGACACTAAGACGAGTACAAATTTGATATTAAGTATGTCGTTAAACCAAACAGGGGCCTCCTGGGGTGATGGGTCCTCCGGGAAAAGAGGGAAATGCCGGCCAGCCGGGACCAATGGGAGCTCCGGGCACCAGAGGAACCATAGGAGACCTTGGAGCTCAGGTAAAGCAATGCGCTAACTAATGCTAATGTAGACCGTGATGTTTACTTTAGGTGTGTTCTTATGAAAACACCTTTTTTTTTTTACAGGGTCCAACTGGAGAACCTGGACCACCCGGTCCTCCAGGTCCCCCGGGACCTCCAACAGCAGCTGTAGAGGAGCTGTTTGCTGTGGATTATGATGTAATAGGTGACGTTCAGGAAGCAGTAGAGTACGATAACTCTGCTGATCTTCCTTCTCCCCCAGAGTTTAACAAAGACGAAGCTAGGCCAAATACTAAGGTCCTGCAGGCTGAATCGGGTGTCCGAGCCTCGCTTAAGACCCTCAGCGGACACGTTCAGAACCTGCGCAATCCAGATGGGAGTAAGATGAACCCTGGCAAGACCTGCATGGACATTATGCATTGTCACCCTCAAAAAAAGAGCGGTCAGGGTCTTCAACTTTACCCAAATCGTAAACTCATTTTTAAATCTCTTCATGTCCTGATTTGTCTCATTATCTTTGCTGTAGGCGAATACTGGTTGGATCCAAACCAAGGAAGCACAAAAGATGCAATCCGTGTCTTCTGCAACATGGAAACTGGTGAAACCTGCATCCATGCCAATCCGGCCAGTATCCCAAGGAAAGTCTGGTGGACGAAATCCACTCCCAACCCAAACAAACCCGTCTGGTTCGGGGCCGATATGAATGGGGGAACCAGAGTAAGAAGCATTGAAAGAAACTTACACAGGAATAATCAATCAACTTTTCAAATCTGTTACGTCTGACGTCTCGTTTCAGTTCCTCTACGGCAACGAGGAGGACCTGCCGAACGCTGTGGCGGTCCAGATGAAGCTGCTGCAGCTTTTGTCGAAGGAGTCTTACCAAAACGTCACGTACCACTGCAAGAACAGCGTGGCAGTGCAAGACGAGCAGACCAAAAACCTGAAGAAGGCCATGGTCCTCAAAGGTGCCAACGGGCAAGACCTGAGGGCTCAGGGCAACACCCGGATGAGATACACCGTCATAGAGGACGGCTGCTCGGTAAAGCCACAGTCATCCCTGAAATTTGATCAAAACTCAACTCTGCAGATACATCAACTCCCTTTCCTCTTTTTCCTCAGACAACAAATGGAGAATGGGGCAAGACAGTGATCGAGTACAGGACTCAAACAACTACCAGGCTCCCCATTGTGGACTTGTCCCCAATGGATGTTGGCAAGGCGGATCAAGAGTTTGGCCTGGATATCGGGCCGGTGTGCTTCTCATAATATCATAGAGATGGACGCATGGTCAGCTTCTTTTAGAAGGGTACAAAAGTCACCTGTTGCATCACCATGGAGGGACACTCATGCCATCTATTTACATTTTCCAGAAAAGAAATCTGAACCACAAAGATAAACAGATGGTTTGTAAACTTATGTAAAGTAGGGAGTCTTTAACAATTTCCACCTTTTTTTTTCTAGTAGATTTACAGCAATATGCTCACTAAAGGAAGAGTTGATGTAGAATGGCTGTAGCTCTTAAGTTTAAAGGAATAAATAATTAAATTATTAACGTCTTGGCAAGAAAGTCAGTAAAAATTACATGGTTGTAAAAATGGCGAGTTCTTATTTTTCTGTGAACGTCTTCAACTTCTTTTCACCACTAAAAGGAGACAAAGTAGTTATCTTTCTGAACGAACAGATTGGTTAGTGATTTCACTTGATATTCAAGGTGGAAAAGGTTGATTATCTAAGCTGAATGCAGTAAATTACTTACAGTTTGTGGTGATTTTTTTATTGAGTAACAACAAATAAATAACAAATGTTCGTGTATCCCTGTCTCCAGATGAATGTGTGAGAGAACAAAACCAAAAAACAAGCAATCCATGGAAAAAAAAGAGCTAGAAAAGAGTGAGTGGGAAGGCATTCTTCCAGGAAGAAAAGGGGTCAAAGTTCAGGCTGCACATGTTTGTGGGTCAACCTTTCCTCCCCGTCGAGCGCTGAAAGACGTGACACCCTCTCTGCTTCCTGCGACCAGTGGCCCGCTCCGCATCTGTCGAGGTGGCCATTTTTAGATGCCGTTTCTATTTTCAATCTCGGAAAATTAAACAGTAAAAAATGTCAAGCTGATGGAGGTAGTTATGCTTTCTACATGCCATCCAAGCAGGAAAAAAACCTTATGTCAGATCATTAGAAGTATAACCAACTGTTTGCTAGAGTCAACTAGGTATTTAAATGGATGTGGTTGATTTATTCAGGTGGGTTTATTATTAAGATCTGCAATAGAAAACGCTCCAGGTGGGTCAGGGGTTGAGGAAAAGACATTATGTGCTGTTGAAACCTGTTTCTCTTCCATAGACAATAGACAAATTAAGAGAACACTCCCACTTTCAGGTTGTTTTACTTAAACCAACTAACTTTCTTCCATTCATTTAGCAAATTCATTCATTTTGTAAATTGAAATTTGAAAAAATGCAACCCTGAAAAGCTTTTAATCCAAAAAAGGTTTCAAGAGTAACTTTTCAAATGTATTTCTTATATATATTTTTTTTTTCAATTTCTTAAAAATACATTTATTTCTCCCAATTTCTGTTTTTGTTCGCAAACTGATAGACTGATTTTTGCTGTATTTTTTTGGTCAATGGTTTATATATTAACTATAAAATGTCAAAGTAGGACATTTTACATGATGGTATCGTTGCTGAAACCCTTTAGAGGAGGACTGGTTTGATTATATCATGTAGTGTGTGCCTTACAAAGCCCATAGAATAAGCTAATAAGGAACCAGTTTGTATGCTACACACACCCCCATGCAGTTTCACACCTGCTGAAGGGGAGGGGTAACATTCGAGTTGTCCAGATGTGAGTTGACCAAGCCGAATTAGGTCAACTAGTTGACTTTTTTGGTAACTGCCCTACTAGGATGGAGATCTGGGCTTTGACTAGACCCATGATTTAACATTTCTTAATTTTCTTCTTCTTTTGGCTATACCATTCCACAGGTCTCCATCTGACCCTATCTTTTGCTTATTGTTGTCATGTCTCAGTCCGGCTTCTCTGGCTTTATCTCTAAAACATCCACTAAGCCAACATATTTTAGTACATTTTTCAGTTTATTAATTTAACTTAAACATTTAAGTTTTGAATTTAAGTTGACCAAACTTTCATTTCTATGTTATTGTAACTGTCATGTTTGGTTTAAGGTTTCTAACCCACATGCAAAACACACGGACTCAAGGGAAAAAGTTCAAAGGTTTATTGAAACAACACAGAGAATAAAGAACTCATCCAAGGGGTTATTAGATCCATGACTGGTCACAATTGGGTTCACTGCAGAGGGGAACAGAGTGGTTAGCTGGAGTCCAGGTAATTTGCTGAGTTAGAGATTGCAGGTCTGTACCTGATCTGGAGTTGAGCAGATCGGCAGAGAGGGGGAACCAGGAGGGTCCAGAGGCTGTCGGCAGGCTGAGGGCTTGGCGGAGGCAGAGCTTGGTTTGAGAGTTTGCAGGTAACAGGTTTGAGTTTCCCTTTCAGATTCTTCAGAGAGCGGGCAGGCAGGTCTTTGACAGGTTTGATTCTCCAGGGTTCTTCAGAGATCAGACTGACAGATTTCCAACACAGAAAGTCTTCAAGGTTTCAGGTTTCAGGCAGGTTCAACCTGGGAAGCAGAGAGGACAAAACAGATTAGGTTCAGGTTCAGGCTTTCTGGGAGTCAGAGATTCAGACAGGCAGGTTGGCTCAGGCTTGCTAACTATAACTGGCAAAACACTCTGGCGTCGGAGTGATGTCCTCTGCCTCCTTATATACTGGTCTCCTGATGAGCAAACGAGTCGCAGGTGGTGAAGTCAGCTCCAGCTCCAGGAGACCTAGAACGCCCTCTGGTGGAGAAAAATGGACAGACCTCCAGATCCCAACAGTAACTACTTAATAATAACTTATAACTTATTAATAACTTATGTGAAAGTAGAGCAGAGTTAGAAAAGGTAACGGTTTAACTAAGAATCTTAAACTTCCTATTAATAAACATGCTTTTTATTAAAGGCTTATTGCTCCTTGGTGAGGGAATTTCACTTCTTCATTTTTGTATAATTTTTTTCTTCCAAGGATAGTAATAGTCTGAGTTTCGAAAGTCTGCAATAATCACTATATAGTGGTTACGCCATTTTAGAGGAGTGTCCGAACATCTAGTGCAGGCATCCCCAAAGTCGGTTCCCGAGGGCCGCTGTCCAGCAGGTTTTAGAGGTTTCTCTGCTTTAGCACAGCTGACTCTGATGATTGCCGTCCAGCAAAAGTCTGTTTATCAACTATCAATGTAAATCAGCTGTGCTGGAGCAGGGAAACCTGTAGGACAGCGGCCCTCCTGGACCGACTTTGGGGATGCCTGGTCTAGTGGATGAAAAAGTAGTGGACTCGAAATTTCCCACAATGCACCTTAAAAGTAGTGATCATCTATGGTCACTAGATGAGCAGATATATCCCAGATTGCTATGCTAGAGCTCTCCTCGCAAAGCATCATGGGTTTTGTTGTGGTGGCGGCAAATAACAGAGATATAGCAAGCACCGTGCGGGGAGGCGGAGTTATGTGACTTACGGGGAGCAAGAAGTAGTGATCATCTGTCCAAACGGTCAGTTAACTGAGTTCATTATAAAGTCACCACTATATATTACTGCTCTATAAAGCAATTGAGGGTTTTAGGGGTTAGGGCGGACATTCGAACACAACCAATGTCTGAGTTTCTAACCTGCGACCTTTACGGTTGCTCGAAGCAGTTAACCCTTTGCTTGCTGACCCCCAGGCCAACAAACCTCAGTTCCTATTTATGATCACTGGTAAGATGAATATAGGTCAACTTTAAAATAGATTCTAAAGAAGGCAAACCTCCAACTCTCGAGGTTTCTTCCACCCGTTTGCTGCTGTTGCTTGGAGATCACAATGTCATCTACAAAACGTAATAATTCATTAACATTTCTTGTGTCTCTGATACAGTGGCTCCCTATTTCATCCTTCTGGGCCCCTGCTCCACTCTTGGTTTACACTATGCCTCTAAACTGACTCTCTAACATTAGAAATGGGGGTCTGCCACCAACCTTTGGTCTCCATAAGGCCTTTTGGTTCTCAGAAGGGTCCTAAATGACCAAAAACGGTCCTAAAATGGTTCAACAGTTAAACATAGAAATGCTCACTGCAAAAGATTACATATAGCAATAAAATAAAATAAAAAACTGACACTTTTAGAGTGTCTTTCTTTTTTTTTTTTAAGTTTTTTTTTAATCCGTAAATGAATTTATCGTTCGTTTAAAAACCGACCAGTATTTTTTTGTAGACATATCCCTCAAAATGGGTAATTTATTCAATTAATTAAAAAAAACTACATTTAAAATCTATGTATGTAAAATGTAATAATTTAATAAAACATTTTTAATGCATTCTTGATAGCGTCTGAAATCATCAACTGTAATTTACGTAAAAAGCTATTTTACGTCTATTTTAAATGTTATTCTGAATAAATGTATTTATTAAAATGCACAAATGACTTTAAATGTTATTTTGAAATAATGTATTTAGTCTAAAATGACATTTAATCAAATGTAACATTTTCAATGTATTCTTAATGATATTTAAAATAATTTATGCCATTTGAAATTAATACAATTATACAAAATATATATATATATAAAATGTATTATACTTTATATATATAAATAAATAAATAGATATAAAATGTAACTAATTATATCTACTTTTAAGAGGTCACAATTCACTTGTTCTTTTTCAGGATTTTTGGAATCATGACCTAAAATGTTTGGGAATAATAAATGAATGCATTCTATGTCTATCTCCCATTTAAATTAGTTTAATTTGGATTTATTTTAAAAAGAGAAACACCCTTCTAATGTTAAGTATGTTAACAAGCTGGAACGTGTTCTAAAGGAAGGTTAAGCACAAAATACAGAACTTTTCCTTTTTAGAAGAAACTATTTCATTATTACAGTTACCATTTCCTCTACGGTAAAAGAAGAAAAGTCATCTATATCTGCGATCGCTATCCAAACAAACACGCCATGTTCTACACAGATCCGAATTATCACTGTTATGATCAGAGACCGACTTCCTTATCTCATCTTTAATTTCATCTGGAAGTCCCAGAGAGGAAGAAATGGTAACTTTCTCCTCAACACAGAAATGTACAAGCTGTATTCAAAGCTTGTATACGTTAACGATATGTATATATGTATATATATATATATATATATATATATATATATATATATATATATATATATATATATATATATATATATATATATATAAACGAATGGGGCCTCTTTTGTGTTTTAACCAAACAAGACCCCGAGATGATTTAACAACAACGCCCAGATCCTGGCTGGGGTGTCTCTTGTTCACTGAGGAGCCTTGATGAGATTTCCCAGCTACTCCTTTTCCTTCCTGTGCCCCCGGCAACCCCACCTCACCGACGCCCCGCTGAAAACACTTAAGAGCATAAAGCACGGACCATGAGAAAACATCAAACCACAGCTCGGAGTTAACTCTCACTGGCATGAGAAGCAGCGGCGAGGATAAGATTCTCACACTCTGT